ATTCATTTTCCTCATTTCTCCTGTACCTTTATTCCCACCTTATTGGGCTTACCACATTGTACAGCAATGGGAGATAAGTCACACTTCAGGGTTCTGAAAGCCAGTGGATTTATCTCCAAGATCCAGTTCCTAAAGCTTAAAGCCCCGAGCATGATCTCTGTCAGACATGGGCTCATCCCTGACTGTGATCCCCCAAAACAGCCCACCCATCCCCACAGCAAGGTGACAATCCCCCCCCCTCCCCCGCTGCCCCCCATTCCTGATCCAGACCACTGATTCCGCGGAGCCAGGAGTGAGCCAGAGGCAAGTGTGTTCCTGCCCCAAACTGGGACCTGCTCCATGGCCCAACGCCCCAGCCCAAACTCAGGCAGAGGTCAGCAGGCTGGGGCCAAACAGCTACAAGCCCACTGCGGGGGAGTAGCACTAATGAGCCGGTGGGGGGCCAGTCGCGCATGGGAGACGCCACGGCTCCGCCGTCACGGGGCCAGGGGGCCCGAAACACGAGCCCACGGTTTGGACTCTTCATTCTGGAGGGAGAGAGTAAAGGTGGGGGCTTTAGTTCAGTCTCAAGGTAGAGTGAAGAGTGAACATTCAGCTGACTGGCTGAATTCTCCCCACCATTATCTGAAAATCCCCTACCCTCAGATTTTCCTTCCTAATACACATGGCTCCAGACGTCTAGGAATCATATGTTCTGAGAAAGAAAAAGAAGGTCTAAGGCATCCCTAGGATATCCCTTCTCAGGCTAAGGGGTCAAAACAGGAAATCTCTGTTATTTTTCTTGACCCACTACCATGAAACTTAAGCGATAAGCTCTGAAATACACGCATACTTGCCTTTCACTTTGCCGTGATTTAACAAGTGCCTGACTGTAAGTGGAGCAGAACAACAAGTGTAGTTTCATGTTTGTAAACAGAAACTGATTGCTTAATGCCGGAAGACACGATAGGTAGTAAAGGCACTCATGCAGGCGCAGGCCCCTCGCAGGCGTAACCGGCCTTTAATAACATGTGGGCGGGCAGCCTGCAGCCGGCGCCGATTCCCGGACTCCCCCCCTCGCCGGCGGAGGCGTGGTCGCGGCCGCGGGGCGTTAACTAAAAACGCTCGCTGAAGTTTCCCTGGAGCACTCTGGGGAGAGACACTTGTGGATCGTGTGTTGTGTATTCAGAAATCACTCCGTGGGACTCTACGGAATCACCCTCTGCTTCTGCGTTACTGCGGCGGCACAGGCTCACAGTCTTAAGGGGGATCGGTGCAATTTTCATTCAGCTTTCATCTCACGGCAAAGCCGCCATGGATTTGATCTGGTTGCTGTACATCGCGGCGAGCACCGGCGCCTGGCTCACGGCGGCCGAGCGGCACAGCGTCTTCTGGAACAGCAGCAACCCCAGGTGGGTCCCCCGAGTGCGGCTCCCCGGAGCCCCAACGCCGTCACATGCCCCCGCCGCCTCTTTAGTATGCTGCTCGCCTGCCCTTTCCATTCAGCCGCCTTCATTCCGCTGTGTCGTTATTTAAGCGCCGATTTGCTCCTTCACATGTTAATTTCTTGATCGTTTATAGTACTGTCCGAATCCTACGTCCGTTCATTTGCATTCCAACACTTTGGCAGTTTGTAACTTTAACAACTTTCATCTTTTGACTAATTCTTTAAATATGTCATAATTGGTTAGTATTCTGCCTGATTAAGGTCTGCCAATGCACCGAACACCAGCATTGATTTAAACGGGCGTTTATATATGTATATGCAGTAGATAGACATTAATTCAGGGAATGCATTAACGCATACCCAGACAGATGGACAGACTGAAACAGCCTATATATAGTTGTTATGCAGAGGGACAGTAATAAATATAGCGATAAGCGGAGTAGTCCGCATGTGTCTGCTGTTGTTCGCCCCTTGGAGACTCAGCCGGCTGCATTTATACGTTACATTGCTGCTGCAGTCGATGGGAAGACAGAGATGCGGGGGAAGGTCCGTGTAAAGCGGCCTGCTTCCTGTGTGTGTGTATGTGTGTGTGTTTGTGTGAGCGTGTGTGTTTACAGTACTCAGGAGTCAGGATGAGATACGGCCTCTTGTCGTGATCGATAAAATTCCCAGTTACCGAGATGAAAGTAGCGAGCGATTTATAAGCCCCTTTCTGCTGAATTGTGGAAAGGTGTACTTTTATAGAAAGCTGGGGTGCAATGTCACGGTTTTTAGCTCCATCAGCATCTTCATCTCTTTAAAGGTCAAACAGAATGCTTTTGCGCTCATACCTCCAATTTGTCTCTCCCTGCTGAATTCTGGTGATTCCTATGATAACACATGCTACTAAAACTACATTAGTATAACTAGTTGCGTAAGATATTTTCAATAGGCGTTTCATTTCTGTGGGGTATCAGGGGACTTCAGAATCAGCGCGACGGGTGGTGAGGGAGGGTGGGATAAGAGCAGACCATCGCCACAAAGGGTGAAATTTAAAACCCGGAGACCGGGTCATACTGGGGGAAACGTGTCAAGTTTAGTAGGTTTCTTAAGGTTAAGTGAGATGAGAGGCGATCTCTGTCAGGGTGAAATGTGGCAGCCAAATGTGATGGCAGAGGGGGATTAAGGGAACGCTTTGGAAGGTTATGGTTTTTATTTAATCCCAGCAATATTCCAAGAAACTTCTGTTGTGTTGCCAAAACAAGGAAATCTCAGTAAATGCGCAAAAACCCCCTAAACTGCTACGCTGTGATGGATGGGCGCATGACGCATAAAGCATGTGGCTGCTGGCTGGGGGTTTGGCATGGATGGGACCTGCTGTCGGAGAGTAGGGGTCTTCAGGAGTTATCCATCTGGTGCCCACTGGCCTGCTCTAATTTGCTCAGTTTCTTAAAGACCCGAAAGTAGTTTGGAAACAATTTTCAAACATGTTACAGGAGAGAATGCAAACACATACAACATACCCCTTCCTCAAAAGCTTTAGATATGAGAGAACCAAAAGAATATGAGGAAATTCATGACGTCCTAGTATAAGTCTGTTCAGTATGTTATTCCCTTGGTAATAAGGTCTGAAAACAGCCTTAATCTGGGAAGGACCTTTCATTCCAGGAAATGGAGAGACTGTCCATGCGTTCCCCAACTTCTGCAGGCTGAGCTGCTGCTCTTTGCTCCTTATCAGATGTCAGTTACTTTTGTGCCTGTTGGATAAACACCAATTAGTCAATTAGCTGCAGTTAAACGGACGAGTGGACTCGCCCTGCCTGCTCCTCCGTGGCTCCCCACCTGCTCGTTCTGTGAGCTCAGCCTTTTTCGCTCGCCTGCGTGCCGACACGTGAAGCCGCGTGTGTCAGTGTGTCTCAGCCCCGACGTCAGCGGCGGCCCTCGTCAGCGCCCTGCAGCGCCCTGTCTCTCCAGCTGCCTGTCTGGTTTTCACTGCTTTCTTTTCTCTCTGCGTGTCTCTTCTTGTTTTGGATGTGTTTTCTGAGGACATTTAGCCCTCTGCGTGTGTATTATTACCAGCTTAATCATTACACCCGAGCCGGGAGCGCTTTTACTGGAAGGCGGTTTACGCGTTTGTTTGTCATTGTGATAGTGATGGGCGTGGCCTTGCATCACTGGGGGCTGTTTTGCAGGGGAGGCTTAGCGCTGGTTTTCTGGCACACGGCAGGGTGTTCGCTCGCACACGGCGAGGTGTGTCGCCTGGACCACGCACCCCCTGACCTCCAGTGGACGTCACCCAGCCGAGCGTTTTTTGTGTGAATATCACCCTCCTCCCCTTGCCCAAGTTGGTCTCTCCCATTTTGTACCTGTCCCCCCCCCCCCCCCCATTTCTCTGTAGGGGGCCAGGGTACTTTTTCCTCCCTTTTCCATCTGTAATTCTATTCCACCCTCTGTTCTCTGAACGGCTCCAATCAGCAACCCTCTCCATACCAGATAGTCCCTGAATTTGATAGACTTGTCCCTGCCTGGTGACCAGAGGAGGGACTGTTTCTCTCTCTTCGGTTGGGACTCGCCATATTCCTCATTCTTTCGGGTGTTTCTCTGTGCTGTCTGAAATCACGATGTCGTTAGATGGACATCGCCGCAGCTGCCTTCTCATGAATGCCTGTGTCTCTCCTCTATCTTATTTAGCATTTCTGTGCTTTTCTTTAACACCCCCCCCCCTGCCCACCCCAGATCGTTCTTGTTCACTGGACCTGAGAATGAATGGTGGTGAGCGACATGCTAAACGTGCTCCTTTGTCAAGGCCGGGCTTCAGATCTGTCATTTTCGTCACAGGCTTCTATGTAGACAGAGCCCAGGTTAATGTGCACCGTTTGTAGAGAGAGTGACTCTGGCTCTGTCTTCCTCCGCTTCATATGACCAATAAAAGTCGCTTCAGGAGCCATTAAGCGTCTCCGTCTGCAGCTCATTGTTTGTGTGTGGTGTTTTTTTTTTTTTTTTTTTCCCTGTGTGTTCCCGGGAAAACTGCGTATCCTGTCAGCACAATGCGCTGTGTCCCCTCACACAGCTCCTGCGCACGGGGGTGACCGAGGACAATGCGAGAGCCTCAGTGAGCCCGCGGCCCCCTCCCGCTGCTGCCACTGATTTGCTCTTCATATTGTTTTTAAAGGCATCTCTGAGGATAATGACACCAAAACGGATAATCAGTCAAAATGACCAGCTAATGTTACGCGGCGATCGCGCTCTATGAAACAACGCCTCTCTCTCCTCTGGCAGGGTCCCGTTCCCTCACTCCTCCGACTAAGTCTTTCCCATCTCCCTTTCTCTACCTAGCCCCTGCCCCCCCCTAGCCCCCCACCCCCCTGTGTTCCCTCAGTTCAGCTGCTATATAAGTTTGCTTTATTTATCTTACTTAGTGATTATCTGTCTCACTTTGTCCTGCTGGCTGACAGATTTCATTTCATTTTTTTCTGCTTGGAAAACAAACAAAGGCTCCTCTTCTTCCCTCTCTGTCCTCCCCCCACGCCCCCCCCCACCCCCCCCCCCCCCCCCCCCCCCCCCGCAGTGCCCTTCCTCTCCCCGCTTATCTGCGCCCCATACTTCCTCCTACTCCTCTCGCTGCCCGTGTCCCCGTTCTCACAGCCCCTGCTCTCCTGTCCTTGTTGTTCTTGGACATTTCCTCTCAGGGCAACGGCCTCCGTGTCTCACCGTGTTTCTCGCCACCCCGTGATTTCCTCACTGTCATTTCCACTATTCCGGATCATCGTGTGTCACTAGTGATTGCTGCTGTGTGATCGGGGTGGTAAGTGTGTTGTGAAATGATACGATGAGGGTTTTGTGCGCAGTATGTTTACGGGAGTGATGCTCATGCAGATAAGTTCTCTGTACTAGTCTTTGTCGCCCCCTACAGGTGCACACCCATCCCATACCTATCCCAGGCTTCACTTGGCTTCTATTTTTCAAAATAATACAATTATTATGATATAATTTTTCCCCTTTTCACAAACACATTCTTTTACACTGTTATTGCAGTGACATCCCCCCCAGGCTTCCGTAATGTGTGACTTTCAGGGCTTCACTTGATGCCCGCTTTGGGATTTTCGTGACTGGGGGCCGAGGGGGGAGGTTAGGGGTTAAAGTGGGAGGAGAGGTGAGGGGTAGAGAAAGAGCAGGGGGGCGGGGGGATGGCGGGGCAGAGAAAGGGCACAGCTGTAAGAAAGACAGATTGTTTTACAAAATTCACACAGGATAAAAGAGCCTGGTATATTATGTTAAGTTTAAGCAGGAGACAGATGGGGGGGGGGGAAGATGGACAGTGAGGGGAGGGCTGCACTGACTGTGATAGATGGCCAGGCAAAAATATTGAATCATGTACAAAATCGGGTACAAAAGAAAGGGCTGAGTTTACGTATAACACAGCCTGAGTTCTTCTGGGGCGTAAAGGATACAGGGCAACCATGCTAGCTCCTGTATTCCTGAGATGATGGATCCCCTCCATCGGCAGGCTTTGGCCCGAATCGCGGCTCGAGAAGCGCACTGATCCCCGCTGGGGGCGGCAGATTAGCGACCCCCCCTCCATCGGCTCGCTCAGCCGTGAGGCCGGCGTCATTAACTCCGGGTCACTTCCCAGAAAGGCCCTTCAGTGTCTGTGTGGGAATTGGGCTGGGTCTCCCTGGGGGTTCGGGGACAGACTGGCGGTTCCCTGTGACGCAGTGTCACCCCCTGCTGGCTGGGTGTGAGGTTCCACCGTCACCCAGGCTCACTGGCTGGGTGTCAGGGGGTACATTCGTGCTTCTGCTGACTCCGTAGCAGTGTGTTATCCATAACCCTGACCCCTGAGTCTTGTGGCCTGGCCCTCCCCCCATCTTTCTGACATTCCGAAGTGGGGGGGGGGGAGATGAAAGTGGCATTTATGGCAACCTGCAAGAGTGCCGGTTTGCGCCTTGTGATAGCGTGTCATAACTCGCACCTCTCCCTCCTGGTAGGCGGGGCGCGAGGGGAGGGGGCAGGAGGGGAGGGGGTGGGGCTTTGTGGGAGTGCCGGTGGTCAGCCCGAGGGAGGAGGAAAAGCAAGCCTGCGGGGGCAAGTATGTTTGACATGGCTGCAGACCAGCTGTGCGGGGGGGTCGCCCCAGGTCCATCTTCGGGGAGAGCAGGGAGGGAGACGCCCGGGTGGGTGAGCTCCAATCCGGCCCCGCTGCTCAACACGCGGAGCGATTCTGCTGCGGGCCGCTGGACCCTGACGGCCCCCCAGCCCAGGTCTCCCCTCTCCCCTCTGGGTCGGCACTGAGCAGTAGCTGAGGCTGAAGGCAGGCGGGTTTGCAGGCAACATGGATGAATTACTGTTTCATTGCTGAGTCTGTTTGGTTAATTGGGGGGATTTCTTCCTGAATAAAAGCTGTAAACAAAGGAGCAGTTATCTCTGTGCTGGATAAGCGGCAACAAAAGCTGCTCGCGCCCCAGTGTCCCAAGGCCCTCTCCCCCTACCCCCGCACCTCAGGCGCACGGCTTTCTGGGGGGAGGTGGCTGGTATAATAATCCCCAGCCCCCCAGGGGAACAGTTGGATGTCTTTTTGGGTTTAATTATCGCCCCCCCCCCCCCCCATAGAACACGTTGGGACCATGCTGCAAACAACTTTAATTTGTTAGTCTTCAAAGGATGGATTTTGGGGTGGGGGGGAGGCGGTGAGGGGGGGGGCACTGTCTCAGGAGGCCGTCATTTGCAGCGCTGTGGTGCTCCTTGCTGACGGCGGAGCGTAACATGTGGCTCGACGGGAGCCTCCTAAACATTAGGGCAACAAGCGGCAGGCAGAGCTGGGCCGTGCCGGCCGCAGGGGGGGGGCATAACGAAGCGTGAACGTCTGTGCGGGGCACCTCCGCTTTGCCCCCGAGTCCGCAGAGAGCTCACAGCAGCCGTAACTAATCAGACCCCCCCCCTCCCCCCCCCAGCGCTTTACACTGTGTTGTGATTTTGACGGGGTGGTCATCGTTAGCGGGGGGGTTAGTGAGGGGATTTAGATGGGGGTAGGGGGGGTTTGGAGCCAGAGTGTCTGTCCCTAACTAGGGGTCTCGGCAACAAAAACAACAAGAGGGAGGAGCAGAGCGGGGGTGGGGCGGTGTGGGTGAACACCTCCACCCCAGGCTTTGATCATAAGTCACACATATGGACTGAGTCCCATATGCAAGCTTCAGGAAAACGCATCTTGGACCCATCCATTTAGTGGGCGGGGGGGGGGTCCACCAGCTGAAATTTAAGGAAAGTTCTATTGGGTAGGGGGGAATATGTTTCAGCCTGATGTAGAGCCTGCTGCTCTGGGGGAAACTGTGAGAACTGGGAGAGGCAGGACTTATTCCTGCTAGGATCTACTCAGGTCAATGTTACACGTGTGAAGGATCTACTAGGATCTGTCCGGATCACTGTTGCATGTGTCAGAAAGGGGCTGAGCAGCTGAGCTCCCTTTTCACTTCCTATATTTAAACCTGAAGGCTGTATGAATGCAGGCGACTTTGTGAGCGACTGTGTTCTGAAAGCCCGTCGAGTTTCGCATGGAGGAGAAGCCTCGGGGATAGCTGCCCCCCCCCAATCAGGTGACCCTCCCCGCGGAGAGCGGAGATCTCTGTGAGAAAGTGAAAGGCTGAGTGCAGTGGAGCCCGCAGTCACAGGCAGGCAAGCACAGACCCGGAAAGCGAGGGTGGGGGGCATGAAAAGAGGCATGGGGGGGGATTAGCAGGGGAAGAGGCAGACAGTCTGACTGTGTCCTTTCTGCTCCTGATCAAAGGCGGGGGGAGATTTGGGGCGGGGGGGCTCTCAGACCGAACGTGCCGGTCAGGGATGGGGCAGTAACTGAACACGGGCGCTTTGTGTGGGTCTCTGACCTGTGATTTCCCCGCCGCAACAAAACCAGAGTGCCCAGTGTCCCTTAACCCTTTATGTGCCGGGCGCAGGCAGCTAAAAGCAGGAGGGTCGCGTGGGTGTCCTCACAGCCTCACAGCCTCACAGCCTCACAGCCTCACAGCCTCGCCTTTCCTGCAGGCATTAATAAGTAGGCATGAAAACGGGTCTATCCTGCCCCCATCTGACAGGCTGCCCGACTGGTCTGCAATGGCCCCGCCCCCGAAATGCTCAGGCGGGCTGTCGGGTGGTTTGTGAGACTCAGAGTGAAAACAGTTTGCTGGCCACCCGTGCTAATCTGTTCGAGCCGAGTGGTGTAGGATGTAACCAGGGAAACTGCTGCCGTGACAACCAGTGCTTCATTCAGCACAGTGCTCATGGGAGGCGGGATCAACATGGCCTGCCTCATTCCCGCCCCCCCCCCCATCTCGCACATTTTCCAGCAAATGAGCCCACTGCACGTGGAAAGCGATCTTCTGGCAAAACCGGTGATATTTACCACCCCCCAGCATGCTGCCTCGTCATACTGCTGGCTGTGTGACTGCAGGATATACTAAGTATCCCCCCCCCCGTTCCTGTCCCTCCCAGGTTCCTGTGGAGCGAGTACACCGTGCAGGTGCGCATCAACGACTACCTGGACATCATCTGTCCACACTACATGCGTGGCGAGCTGCCCTCACAGGAGGCCGAGCGCTACGTGCTCTACATGGTGGAGGCGGAGGACTACGCTAACTGCAAGCCGCACCCCCCTGAGCAGCTGCGCTGGGAGTGCACCCGGCCCTTCGCGCCACACGCCCCGGAGAAGTTCTCCGAGAAATTCCAGCGCTTCACCCCCTTTACCCTGGGGAAGGAGTTCCGGCAGGGCGAGAGTTACTACTACATCTGTAAGCAGTTCCGCCTCCACCGGAGCCCCACCCACGGGGCATCAACCCCCTTAAAACCTGCTGGAGCTTCTCCTGAGATTCGCTTCGGCCTTTAATTAGCCACTTGCTGGTGTGTCTGATCTGCTTCTCCTGTCTCTGTGCTTCTCAGCAAAGCCCCTGCATCACCACGGCAAGGAGTGTCTGAGGCTGCGGGTGGATGTCGTCGGGCCCAATGGTACGAGCACCAGGCTTATTTGTTTATCCTCGTGCTGGTTTGGACCCCTAGGGTGTGCTCTTCATATCCTTTTTCTGCCCCGTGACATTTCTGGAAGGTTCTAATCCTGCTCTCCCGTCCATAACAGGGTCTCTGGAGCCCAAAGTGAACGGTGGAGCCGGTGGGCGAGTCAGTGGAGGAGGTGGAGTCCACAACCCATCCAATCGGCTTCCTGCAGGTACGACGTGTCCCACTGGGTGGGGTTCTATGCGCCGCTTCACCAATGGTCCTGCTATTCATGAGAGAGTCTGAAACTCAAGGCCTCCCCTCCTCTACCCCCCCACCCTAGATGACCCGGCGGTGATTGAACCTGAGGTTCAGAAGAGTGTGGGAACAAACTCTGGATTGAAGCCGGCCTCAGTCTGGCTCTTCACGCTGATCCCCTTCTTACTGTCGCTGTCTCTGCACTGAGACTGTTTCTACGGAAACGACGGACTGTGGCGAGAGTGGTCTGGGGGGACCACAGCGGGGTCTTACAGCCTGGTGCCGGTCACCGGGAGAGGGGGTAACACTCCTATTAATTGGCACAGAATCGCCATGACGATGACCAAGGGGTTTAAGGAGTTGTAGCTGTTTACTGGAATGTGTGTGTACCTTTGTGAAGGATTTCTGTTTTGTCAAGACTGCTACGCTCCTCCTCTTCCACCTTTTTATCCTCATAATGACAAGAATGATGGAGGATACTGGAATTCAAGGTGAAAGAAAGATTCAAAAAGTGAATGCTGACTCACCGCCCCCACCCCCCCCCCCTCGATGTAACTATGAATTTAAGCAGAAATTCTACAGTTTTGCCTAATCTTGTCTAACAGTGAGCCAAAGAATACAGCGATCATCTCAGAATTCACATATATATAGATATGTAGATATGTACATATATCAAGTATTTCATTTGTAATAAAAAATAAAATGAAACATTTAATATTGATATACCGCACACAGTGAGACACACTAAAGAAAAATGCTGGTCATTTTATGTAGCATTCAGACGGGCTGTAAGCATTTTCCTCACTGTCCTGGTATTGACTGGAAGATTGTATCATAAATGTGTACTGATCAGGTGATGCTGCACCGGACCAGAAGTATACACTGTATCAGTGCAGACTCAGAACAATATGAAACACATACACACACACCATAGCATCGCAGGATTATACCACACACGTGTCTGTAAGCCAAACCACTAGTCCTGTTCCAGCTAAAGTGACTGTCAGTTCTCTTATGCTTTGTACAATATGTTTTATTGTACTGCTTCCACTATGCAGTACCAACACAATGTTTCACAAAACGGTACACTGGTCATCAAGAACCCATAATGTTCAGCACCCCGTATGTACACTGAATGAAGAACAAGCTTTGGATATTTTTGAGAGACTGGAGTAACGTTGATTTGAATCATGTTTTGCAGTTTTGTATATTTGTATCATGAAGTGTAAAATATGTGTATATAGAGAAGTATATGAAAACATTTGTTAAATGCTAAAACGTGAATTTCCTAAATAAAGATGTATATGAAAACTATGAATGTCAACTTGACCATTTCGGGGGGGGGGGGGGGGGAGCACCCAGGATAAACACTACAAAACAACAACCTCAAGGGGGGGGGGAGCACCCAGGATAAACACTACAAAACAACAACCTCAAAATTTGCCATGAAACTGTTTTAGCAGCCGGGCTCAACGAGAACTTGCGAGTTCCACAAAGTTGGATGTGATGGCAGAGCAGCCAATCAGAGACCATACACGCTTCTAAACAAATTCATTGACAGGTTCACGAGCCCCTGCATGAAGTCAAAGCCCTTCTATGGTATCCCCAGACAGCAGATCTAAAAATTATTGAACCTATATGGGAAGTTCTGAAAGAGTTCCAGCCTGTTCATCCCTCAAAGAACTGAGGGCTTCTCTTCTTTGTGGATAGGCACATATCCTGCCTCACAGTTTGGGGCTTGTGCAGTAACATTACAAGAAGGGTTGAAGCTCTTCTAAAAGCAAAGGTGGCCTTACTCCGTATCAGGTCCTTGATGGTAAAATATTTTGTCTGCTCCTTTTGCATATGGCATCTTAATTACAAGTGTCTAAAGTGAAATACTTTGGGTATATTCAGCTGAAGAAGAACATTATGTTGCATACAGTATTTAATATTCCATATGTCAGAAGTAAATAATAGCCTATTTTTCTTCAGCAGCAGACTGTAATGGCATTTTTCACCCTGTCACATCCCCCATTCAAATCAAAACCAGGTTCACTGGCATAAAGCATAAAATGCAAAACACACTGACTGTTCAGTGTGTCCAGATGTGAAGGTTACACATTTTAAACTTTAAATGTGACCATAAAATCTTCCTGTTGGGACTCCCCCCAGCCCCCATGAAGCAGTGTAAATTTCTGCTTTGTTTGTCTCTGTTTGTCTCTGAATGGGACTTTTACAGCACCCTCCCACCGAGAGAGGAGGGCAGGACAACCTGGCACCTGGGTGTGAGGGAACCATTCCTATACACTGGCTCTTTCTCTCGCTGCTCCAACCTTGAGAAAATTCAACAAGTTTCCATCACCAATCTGTTTGTATTTGCCACACGTGACACTGTGGCCTTTTTTATCTAACACTGCCCGATTCTGTAATCACGCTGTGTCAACACTGTTCATTATACTGACCGTGTGGTCGTGATACACCTTTACTGTTTACTGACCCCTCATTCTCGTTATACATACAAAAAAAATGTGACAGGTCTGTTTTCCAAGGGTGAAAGCAGTGTATGCCCCTGCCTGCTCATTCATTGCTTTATATAGCCACATGCATCTTACAGATTCTTAAGGCATTCAGTAACGTTAATATTATGACACATGTGGCCGGCTAATTTAATTAAAACCATAACGCTGGACATGTGAGGAGACACCAGAAACCGCCGAGGTGCCCTGCGGCTTATACTTAAAATACTTGTGTTATTTATTATTTCCACCTGTGCCTTTCACTTTTATAACGGGTGGAAGGCATTCACTTTTTAACCTTTGATAGGTCTACATTTTATGCACAACATATGTTGTTTATTTTTAATATAACCAGTAATAGAAATAAATGATCCATTTATTGCATGGAACTGTTTCACGCTTTTACTGCATGGTATGTGCGACGTGTCGCTCCTGCAAATGGTTTTTCCGCACTACACGCATACGTCCCCAGTCGTCATAGAAATCACTCTGTGATTGGTGGAGAACAGAGTTCCGTCTCTCGGTTTCCGCGAATCAGGAGGCGGGATTTTGGGGCTGCTGATTGCAAACACGGAAAAGACAAGCAACAGAAGTCAAGCGTGTGTTAGTGCTGTATTTCATTTTTCGTCTGCGGTTTTTGTTTTTATTTTGTTCTTTTTTTCTTTCTATGGATTTTCTACAGCTTCTATCATGGGCATGCATCGTGTTTACTATACTGATGTTCTCGTCAGGACTGTAAGTGTAACCAACTATTTGTTTTTAAAACTTTTAATAATCCGCTATGCACCGTAAATATATTATTGTTTTATCATAAAATGATTCAATGATTGAATGCCGTGTTATATGTTGAAATACACAGTTTGCCTACTATATGACGGCTTTCATAGCTAGTTGTAGTTATACCTGTTTTAATACAGTGTTATTTACATGCATATTATTATGAACCGCAATGCAAAAATATTGTTGTCATGCACTAGTATCTACATGCCGCACTACCCGGAGAATAAATTTGTAACAGGTGCCAGAGCGGTACTTTCAGTAAAACCGCCAGAACATGCCTGAGCAGAGCTTAATAAAAAGAGATGAACCGCATGTTATCGCGCCAGAGTGCAGTCCTTACGGACTTCACAGGCCCCATCGTGTGTGATAGTGTCTTAATACTTAATGCTTATATTCCATACTGGCGATGAATACTGCTATCAAACTGAACTGTACATTTGCTCCCCACAGGACGGACCTGAAGAAAATGAGAGAAGCACGGAGTTCAGATAACATTCAGTTTCTTCCTTTTCTCACCACTTTGCTCAAGTAATGGTGAAATATCGCCCACTAGGATTTCCTCTGCTTTTCTTGGGGAGTAATATTGAACGCATAAACTTATTTCCAGAGTTGGGCTGTTGTATGGTAGAAAATCTCCCTGCTCTGTGCATTTTTTTTCCTCAGCAACCTGGGCTGGCTGTACTATGGGGCCCTGAAGAAGGATGGTACCCTCATCATCGTCAACAGCATTGGGGCTGTCCTGCAAGCATTCTACGTCCTGGCCTACTCCCACTACAGCAGCGACAGGGTCCGTGTCTCCTCGCCACACATTGACACGTCACACGTCTTCACCTGTCGTTCATGTTGTTGCCATCCGTTCCTGTTTTTCTCGTTCGGCATACACGCAAGTTCACCCCGTAGGCGTGAAGGATGTGGGCGTGTCTCTAGGGTGTCCGTTCTTAATGCAGAGTCCTTCTGTGTCTGTGCCGCAGTGGCGCGTGTGCAGGCAGACGCTCGCTGCCGGCTTCCTGCTCGCTGCCGGCTGCCTGTACTTCGGCGTCTTGCTCGCCCAGGGTGAGCAGAAGCTGGCCCGGCTGGGTCTGGCCTGCAGCATCTTCACCGTCACCATGTATGTGTCACCCCTCATCGACCTGGTGAGTTTCGCCTGCCCCGTGCGGCATCATGATGACGGTCAGGCACCACCGAGGCTACCGTAGTCACTGCATGTCCCGTGAAAATAAAACACCATAGTAGAGAAAGCTAGGGAAATATGTCAGGGAAATATGTAAAGAAGAATGCTTTGGGATGGTGGCCTCGTGGCTGTTTTGTGAGACAGGGATGTTCAGTGGGTCTGTCTGCCGCCGCTGTGTCAAGGTCAGGCCCCGACACCAGGGCGGGGGCGAGGGAAGGCACAGGGAGTCTCAGCGAGGGCTCAGGACAGATCCTGAAACATCACAGGCTAACAGCAGAATGAATTAGCTGGGGTGAGCAAGGCCTGGCTCTCATCTGGGCTAATATCCCAGCCTGATAGCTCGGGCCAGACTGCTGTTTCAGTCTGGATTTCTGCGGTGGGCATGGATGACATCGCTGTGCTGGCTGACAGCTTGCCGGCTCCCGCTTGTTCCGTGTGTGGGAGTACCATCCGCCGCGGTAAGAAAGCAGCTCTGCTAGGAACAGATGGGCCGTGAACGGCGAGTAACCTGGGGCGGGAGCCACGTGGGGGGGCCCCGTCTGCCTGTCTGCCTGCCCTTCTCTATATACGGCACTCCTGTGCCCGTAAACAGCCAGAGAGGAGCCGACCTGTTTGTCTTTAATCTCCCCGCTGGTGTGTGGCTCCTCACTCTTCCTGTCTTTCTCTTTATTTTCCTGTTTGTCACTATCTCTCCCCTGTCTTTTGTCTGTTGCTGTGCATGGGCCCATCCCTGCCTTCCTGTCTTCACTTGGCCATTGTTTTTCTGTCTCTCTTCATTTATTTACATCCACCCTCTCTGAATTTAATGGACTCTGCTATCCTGTGTGTGTGTGTGTGTGTGTGTGTGTGTACACGCCTGTGCCCACACATGCTGTGACGCTCCTCCCCCCCATAGCGGTCGGTCACAGTGTCTCTGTACCCCTGGCCTTGGCTCCTGAGGTCTCCTTCTCGCCCCTAGCTGGAGATCATGCGCAGTGGCTCCGTCGAACGCCTCTCCTTCCCACTGACTGTGGCCACCTTCCTCACCTCCACCTCCTGGACACTCTATGGTCTCCAGCTTCAGGACTACTACATCATGGTGAGTGGGGGAGGGGGGAGGGAGCAGCTGTGACTCCTCTCTGTGCTGGAGGGAGTTCAGCACCAGTGGCGTGCGGCTCGGAAAAAGTGAATCAGTTTTCGGAAACCCACTGGTACAAGCGCAACTGTCTCTCCTTTCCCAGGTACCCAACACCCCCGGCATCATCACCAGCCTCGTCAGATTCCTGCTTTTCTGGACTTTTTCAGAAACCAGCTCTGTGAAGCCTTCCTACAAGCTGCTGCCACTGTGAAGGAGGAGGAGGAGGGACTCTCATACTTGTGTCTGTTTTTTTCTTTCTTTTTTATTCTGGGACATGGTTTTCGCTTTTGGGAACAGCCTGTCAATCTGGTAGTAGGAGAGCAGCCTCTGTTCACCGTGGCCAAACAGTTCAGCTGAATCACTCTTCGTGGAAATCATGACCTGGGGCTAATTTCTGTTCTGAAAGATTTAAAATATGAAAACATCGTTCTTTTCAGTTATTTAGGGGCATTGGTGGCAAGGCTAAAGTTTTTTTTATATATATATATAAATATTACATACTCAGTGAAACAACAGCATTGTCGAGAGAAAAGGCTGATTTTCACATAACTGTAAATATATTTTTTTCATATTTTTAAGACTGTACAGAAATATAATGGTATTTTTCTGTCTTCACATCTGCATAATACCTCCTTGATGTTATATAAAGCTGCCCATCTATTTTCTAACCTCTTTTCCTGATCAGGGTCACCGGGTGTTATATCACATGCTGTGATATATAATTATATACATATAATTATAATATAAGCATCTCGTTTTATGAAATTCCCTTTACTTCTCGCAGAGCCGTCCCACATGTGGTGCTGTGTCCTGTGCACCCCCTCCCGGTATGGGCTGGGTGTAATTCACGACGGCAGGCATGGCCTTGCTGCTGGTCTCTGTACTGTCTGACTGCTGGTGTTAAGCAGGTCATTCATAACTGGAGGGAGGTCACATGATCTCCAGTGGCGGACTAACCAGAAGCTCATGGTGTGTAATTAAGGGGCCACACTCTGAGTATCACACAGCTCACCAGTGTCACCATCAGATCTCATTCCTGTCATCCATCCAGCCGGTTTCCATGAGCACCTTTCCAGTGAAGCTTTGCAGTGCGTCTCCCCTAGGATGGGATGCCAGTCAGTCACTGGCCTCTCACACTCCCGCACGTTTTGGATAGTCGGTCCCCCTAACCCATGTGCTTTTGACTGCGGGAGAAAACTTGCAGTGTACTCAAAGAAAACTGGTGCAAATGCAGGGAGACCATGACAGCTGGCTACGTGGAGCATGGGGTGGGAGTCAAATGCACATCCTACAGGTGTGAGGCCACGGTGCCGTGAAATGAGATTGTGAGTGTTACAAATCACCACTGGTTTCACAAGTGACACATGAAAATTAAGCTGTTGCTGTTACCTTAATCCAGAATCAAGTTGTGGGCTCAGAACCTCATTACACCCAACCATTTTCTGTAACTGCTTGTCCTATTCAGGGTCATGGAGGGGGGTCTAGGGCCTATGGGCACAAGGCAGGGAGCAAACCAGCATGGGGTGCCAACCCATTGCAGGGCACATTCACACCTATGGGCAATTTGGTAACTCCAATTTACCTCAGCATGTTTTCAGACGGGGTGGGGGAGTGGAGGAAACTGCATGACGACACGGAGGAAAACATGCACACTTCAATTGAACCCTGGTCCTACAGGTGTGAGGCAACGGCCCTAACCACTGCACCACTGAACTGACCCTTATCTTATATCCACAGATAACAAACAAGCATAAGTTTTCCCAGTTAATTTAGTAGTGATTTCCTTCTTAGATCTAAATCTATTTCAGCAAAAGAGGGCTCTGTGAATCCCCTTGATTGACCATCATTAAAACAGTACACCAAGTTGGTAGAGCTTTCTGGAAGCTGTGGGCTGTGTGTGTGTGTGATCTGGATAGGTGCAGGTTTCATAGTCCATCGACTCCTCTATGGAATGATGGTCATCTCTACATGCCTACGTGCTTTGCGCCTAAGTGACAGTGGGATGAGGACGACTACCCTCGGTGCTATGCATTGTGGGAAAAGTGGTAGTGACATTCACTTGGTGGATGGTCCAAAGAGACTTACGGTTCAGTTTAAACAAAGATTGTAATCTGGGACACCTAATTAGTAAGTTTCATGAGGTTGTTTCTGCTTGACACACAAACATTGAATCAGCGAGGGCAGTAATAAGCATCAGGTGGCCTTCTGGATGCTTCTGTGGAATAGAAGGGCCTCTCTCTCCAGGCCACGTAATTAACGGTAACCTCATAATGCAAACTTTCACACTGCTGCTTCAAAAGTGTCGGAAACGATTTCCATCCTGTGAGATACAGAAAATAACATGCCGTAGAGCCCGGTTTGATATGTCTGTGAAGGTGGGGGGCTGGGGGCTGGGGTCCGGGGGCCTGGCTCGGCTTGAGAGCGTGCGATATCGGCGTGCGAATCAGCCTGCGTGCGCAGAGCGCAGTGGGAACGGCTGCGCCACAGTTTCTCAGAACCTATCGGTGCCAATTCCTGTCTGCGCTTTCAGGAACCCAGCCCTCCCACCGAGAGAAATGGCAGACACAACATTGGGGGGGGCGGGGGTGGTCGGAGCAGGGAGCGCGGCGGGGAGGCTGAGCTGGGGGTGCTGCAGGTGGAGGTTGCCGAGCAGATCCAGATGGAGGGGCTGATTGCTTCCAGCGCCCAGAGCGTGAGCCGCGTGCCGAGGTCTGCTCAGACACTGACGACACCGACACCGGGGAGATGGGGGGAGCGGCAAGGCAGGAGGGCGAGGAGGCGCAAGGGCAAGGAGGTCAATCAGTGAGACCGCGAGCGTGTGGGCCAAGGGGTGGCGTCCAGGGTGGGGTTGTGACAGGGGACTGAAGCCGCCACAGAGAGTCATAGTGCATGTGTGTGTGTGTGTGTGAGAGAGAGAGAGAGTGTGTGTGAGTGTGAGAAGCAGAGAGGGAGCGAGTGCGTGTTTAATCAGTACCACAATGGGAACAGGCTCACAAACAGGATCCCTCTGTTTCCTGAGCCAGGAACTGGACCGCTGACACACAGAGTGCAAACGCAGCCCCTGATTACACTTACACACACACACACACACACACACACACACACGGCGCCTGTTCACACACTCCGCCCGGCTCTGTGGGCATGTGCACGTGTGTGAGCCACGTCTAACAGCGAGCACCCCCTGCCCGCCCCCCCGCCGGGATGCCGAGTCAGCGCACACACCCCCCATAAGTATAAACACACCTGTCCCAGCTGCTGTTTTCCACTGAGGGAGGGGGCAGCGAGTGAGGGAGAGCTGAAAGAGAAGAATGTGCTTGGTTCTGGCCCCCCCCCCCCCCCTGCCAGTGCCCCCCTTCTTTTTGTGACAGCTTCTCCTGCCTCCTGCTCTTCACTCCCTCCTCTTCCTCTGTTTTCCATGGCGTGACGCATCACAGTTGGGGGGGGGTGTTTACTGTGCCACCCCAGCACCTCCGCCAGACCAGAAGACTGTGCCAATTGTGCTCTTGACTTCTCCTAAACTATAATTTTCTGACTGATGGATGCCCCCCCCTTCAAAGACACCTGTCGACCTTTAACCCTTGACCTGAGGGAAAGTCAGAGGTCAGATGTTGACTCAGTAAGGGGAGGGTTAAAGGCCACACACTGTCACCCCCACCCCCACCCGCCTGTGCTGATATAGCTGCATCAGCACATTTTCACATCTTCTGGAATCTTTAGGGTCTTTTCACTTCACCAGCGAGTCTCGGCTCTGCTGTTTTTTTGTAGTGGTGCCGTAAAATGCTATTCCATTTATTGTGCATTGTTTTGCTTGCATAAAATATGGGAAATTAAATATTTGGGTAGCTAAACTCTTTAATGCCGTCTTTTATTGGCGAGTTGTGGACAAAGAACCTTTCAGCTCTCACAGGTGAATCATGTCTGGATGTCGTCTGTGTTTCTGTGTCTGTGTCTCCTTTTACTCCTTGGCCTCAGACACCCCCAAGGTGCCCTGCCTGCCGTCGGCTGCTCACCGCCTCGCCCCGTCTCTCAAGGTCTCGCTCCTCACTGGCCGGAAAATGTCAGTTGTGAAGCTAGCACAGATTCCTGAACCAGGTGTCGCTCCACGTGTGAAAAATGATGTGTGAAAACATACTTTTTCGGGGTCCTCGATTTTCATTTTCATTCAGAGTTCGACAGCATTTCCTATCATACAGGCTATTAAATAACCCTATGAGTATTTTGGCATTATTTGTTATTAACCATAATGAGATTATTTTGGGTTATATTCTCAAAATTCCTAATTTTCTGCCCAAAATCTGAATCAAATCTGCTACTTATGTTACAAGTCAAAGGCCATTCAGCTCATATATATATATATATATTCCATTTATTTGCCATAAATAATAACATACCATTCTCCTGTATTTAACCCAAAGATTCAATTTTAAGCTTAAGTTTGCTGTGTGAATACATATGAATACTGATACAGAGAACAGAAAGTGTGGAATTAAAGACAGCGCAAACCCATGAGTAAGAAACTAGACAAGCTGCTTTCCATAATGAAGAACTTTTTTAGATAATAGTGCCATCGTGTGGCTTGTCTTGGGATTACAGTATAGATGAGTATTGCCAAGCGGTTGCATTTGTAAACCATGTATCGGGATGGATAATTGACTAAAGCCATGAGGTTTTCAGGTGAGGGGAGGGGGGTGGCAGCTGAATCAGTGGCGTGGCATAGTGATATACTCAACCAGCTTTTGCATTTCTGAGATATTCAGGAGATAGTCATTGTTGTCGTCGGCATACTGCATAAGCTCCTTCTCCAGGTCGAGGCCCATGTACTGCGAGGATGGGAGGGAAGAGGAGAGGTCAGCAGAGGTCAGCAGAGGTCAGCAGAGGTCAGCAGAGGAACACAGGGAAGAGGAAGCGATGGACATTTGGAGAAACAGACGGAGGAGTCAGTGGGAGGATTTACAGTTCTGACAAAGGAATGTGGTTTCCACTGATTGCAAAAAAAGCATGTCTGTAAATCTTAATGGAGATATTTATTCCTTTAGATATGTAATGAATGCAGTAATACAATGCAAAGCACACCTGCTGTCGAGGAAAGTGATATTGAGGAAATCTGGAGGAGAACAAGACCCTGAGGCAACATTCTGCATACCTGAACACGAGCGTACAGGGCCACAGGG